TACTATTCCTCAGCGATTTTTTTAAAGATATTTTGAAAATTGCGAACTATTCTCATATAATGACTTTTCTAAAATGTTGAGTTGGTTCGTTTTCCAACCACGACAAGACAGTGTACCAAATTTCGTCAAAAGGTGAGATTTCTTTTTTGATTTACTTGAGAAATATTTCGGATTGCAGGTTGAAAAGAAGCAAAGAAAAAGAAATACATGGAAAGATCTTACATGGATAGACAAGCATGCAGGCGGTCAAGTTTAAATCGATTCAAAGAACGATTCATTTTAATCCGATTAATCGATATAATAAAATTAAGATTTATCTGAAGTTTTTCGCCCCCCACTTAATATATCCCGTACCACAGGCGATGCAGAATTTTTTTTTTTCGTTTTTTCGTGACTATCAAGTCAGTGTTCGTGGGCTCACATGTTAAATATGGTAGACTTTGCCTTGATCGCAGCTGTAGTGAATGCTCAGTGCTCCGTAAAAGCATAAACCTTTTCCTTCTCTATTTCTTTCTCGTTCCTAATTTCTCTCTGACCGCCATCGCGTTACATACGTATAGGAGACCAACAGCTGTGTGCCTGGCCATGTTAAAAACAATTTGCTTCTGAAATTTTGTCCTGAGTGCCTCTTCAAGCCGATATTTGTTAGCGGTCGTTGTTTATTCGTGTCAGTTTGAAAGACTTTTTACTAACTTCCCCCGTCTACGACCTGTTTTTTATTTTTTTTACAGAATGCCACAATGAGAAAAAAGTGGAGTTAACTTTGAAACTCGCACTGATTTATAAATATCTAAATTCATATATATATATATTTCACTCATAAAATTGATTCTTGAAAGCAATAATCTTTAAAATGCATAGGTGGAACATTTTCAAAGCTGTGTAACCTAAATTTCAAGATATATTTAAGGAGCATCCCTCAGAAAAGGGTACCTTTCCAATAAGAAAAAAAAACATTGAGAATATTGAAATCACAGATAATTTATGCATCTTCTTCTTCTCAAATTTAGCAAATCAGCAATAGTTGACTCATTGCCCTATGTGTATACCCTACCTATTTTTGGATTTAATAAAATTTCTCACATTTATCTGTCAAATATCAGTCCCTTCATATACCTTAAAAAGAGATATATGTTCATTCTTGAATATTTACTGAGATATAAAATTTATTTCAATGAACGACTCCACGGGGTGAACCAGCGATAAAGCATTTCATTGCAGAATATTCAAGTGCTTAATAATCTTTGCCTTTAAGAGAGAAGCACTTACGACCAAGTCAATCCGCTTCGACGTCTTTGCTTTGACACAGATATATCAGATATCGAGCCAAATCTATCGTAATTAGTTATTTGTTCGCTGTCGACTATACCGCGATTAGAACTTCAATATCCCAAGAGCAAACCTCGATACTCTAATCTCGATAATCAAATCTTCAGTTTATTTTCAGAGAATAAATTTTACAATAGATGCTAAGGGATATGACACAAGCATAGATTGGCTAAAAATCTAAAGTACAAAACCGACAGGAGCAATCACCGAGCAGAACTGCAACTGACAGCAGCCATCAATTGGAAAAATTGCAGAAATATGTATCACAGCATAGAACAACTAATAGCAAGCCTTGCAAGCAAGTTTTGTGTCCCGATATTGTGTTCGAAAAATAAGAATGTCAATTATAGGATTGTGACAGACTATATCTATGTCAAATTTCATTTCATAAGCATGATTAGTGTTTCAGATGCGCTTGGTTTCGAGCGCAATAAAACGTTTGTGTTCAAGTTGATTGGAAAGAATAAAGAAAGATTTTTGTGTTATAAGCAAATTCATCTAATTTTGCTGTCGCGTTAGATATTCGCTTGAGGTGACGTTATTAACTTTCGTACTCATTATCATATAATGTACGTAGAAAGCATTAAGAGCTACATTCTTAAGACAAATTACTAAACCAAAGTCAAATTAAAATTTATAAAGTATTGGCAACATTTTTTTCATATTTTGCACTTTTTTAATCGTTATAGTTGTATATGCATGCTCAGCCCGTTTGTAATTATGATCTGTGGAAAGCGACCGAGTGGGCTCAAGAACACATTTGCCTGATACTAGATGGACGCATAAACGTATTTAAATCGATTGTGCATCTCATACCGATTAAAAATATATGCATATATATATATACTATATATGTATATATTTATATGCTTCCCTATGGTTACTTCTAGATGCAATCAAACAAGTGAAAATTTAGCGAGGTGAGGCAAGAGTAAAGCTTTAGCCTTTCCAAAAATATATTCTTTGCTTTTATTACCTTTGTGTGTAACAATATGTATTGTTTACACTTTTCACGTCGCTTTATCTAATCTTAAGATAATCAATTTCATCTCACTTGTCTAGCGTGATAGCATGAGAGATAAAAAGTATTTTTATTGTTCGGTTCACAGTTTCTTGATTTCTTCAATAAATTTTAAAGAGAATTTCCATAATTACTATAAATACAATTTTAATAATTAACTAATTAAATAATTCCATTTTATATAGTTAATATAGATTGACAATTGCATTAGTAAGCAACAATTAATTCAGTAAATTATATTTGCATTAAAATAACGGGACGGGAGTACATGAGCGTTTACCTGTAAGCGATGCGCCTTAAAAAATGTATGCAAAAGAGAACAACCGAGTTCAACGAGGTCGAACACTTTATCATATCAATATTCTAAAAGTAAGAATATACATACAGTTAAAAGATAGCGTTAACAAATTTTTTTCTCGAAATTCGTAATGACCGTCTAATCACAGGTTGCGCGCTACGTTATATATGCATGCATTTGGTATTCAGTGGAGAAAATAAAAATTTGCTTTACGTAACGATACTTTGTAATTTTTAATTATTATCTAATTTCAACAAAATCGCTATATAGTGTTATACGAAAATAAGAACCCTGTGATATGAGAAAGGATGCGCACTATATTTATATTAAATTTTAGAGAAATATTGACCCATCTTCTTAAAGCAAGTACTATTATCATTTGCCCAAACACCTCCGACCAGCCACATTATCTATTTTAAAGATTTGGAAGGGAGTTTTAAAAGAGACGATAAGGCCTACACGAGATAACGTTGGTAATAAGATTTTGGTTTGATTGTTGTAAATGTTGCAAAAAAAATTAAGTACGTTAGCACTTGGCGTGACTATTAAGCCTTAATTATTTATTGCAAATAAAGGGCTAAAAACTATTTTATCAGTTTGTCAAAAAGACACTTTTTTTTAAATAAAATTTCCGCTCCTCGCTTGGCCGGTGGAAAGTGGAAAAGACGGAGGAGAGATTGTCATTTTACAATCGACTTGACTTGACTTGACTTGAAGCGAAAATATACTATGTAGTTCACCGATATTTTTGAAAAACAGTTCAAAGCTGTAGCGGGTTATGGCCCATTGTTAATTACTCTGCACCGCTTCGCTCAGTATGCTTATTCAAATAATGAGTTTTCAAAATAAGGCGTTACATGACAAGTGGTCGAGAAAGTTGTCCGGTCGGCGTCATTTGTAGTAGTTTTCGTGCTCGCTCAGGTCGGCGTGCAAATTGCAATCTGTTGGTTAAATACAAGAAAACAAAACGGACAGATGGACAGACAAGCTTTGATCGATTCAGAAAGTGGTT